AATTATCAAATTGTAATAATTATTTAGTAGGTAAATAATAAATATAAGTCCTAATGTGTTTCTCTTTCTCTTTTTAATTTACAGAGACATTAGTAAAAACCGTCAACTAAGCATTAAAACATTTCTTTATTGGACTCTCTTGGGTTTCAGTCATGCCTTTATTTTCTTTTTTGGATCCTATTTTCTAATTGGGAAAGATACATCTCTGCTTGGAAATGGCCAGGTAAAATATATAGTTTTTTTTTTTAATATTTGTTAATAATTTGATTTTGTTTGGTTTTTTCTTGTACCTTTCTGTCATAAAAAGTAAAATTCAATTTAAGTTATAAAATTGCAGGTATTAAAATGCAAGTATAAAAAGGGTTTGAACTTTTTTCTTAATAAAATTTCATACAAATGAAAATTAAAACAAAAAGGCAATGCAATGTAATCTTAACATGAAACTCAAGTTACCTAAGCAGTTTTGCTGTTAAAAAATTAATTCACACAATAGGATATGTTCATGCCCCTGCATGCTGTTCACTTCAGGATTGTGTTTTAATAATAGCTACTGTTAATTTAGTGCTTACTGTTGTGCTAAGTGCTTTACGTGGCCCGTTTCCATTAATGCTCACTATACCATAATACTGTTGGAGAGAGATTATGACCCGGCCTTTTTAGATGAGAAACCAGGACTGAGTGGTTAGGTTTTTGCTTTTAATTGCATGAATTATTTTTTGGGTATGCTTAGGAAGTGCTGCCGTACTCTTCAGGGCACACCAGCAGTTCTGAAAATGTCAAGTTACTGTTTAGAATGGCCACTTTTCTGAAATGTGAAATTGGGAAAGAGTACCACACTACATTGTTTCTGTGTCGTGACTGGATTGCTCATGTTGAGAGACTCTTGGCAGAACTAGGCCTCTTTCTAGGCTTAGCTAGATGGGTTAGGAGGAAAGGGATTGACAGCAGTTGTATTGTGGTGGACTGGAAATGCTTGTCACCTTTAGTTTCCCTTTTCCATTGGCAGTACTTAAATATTCCATAATGTATTTGTAGACATAGAGATACAAGATATGAAGTTGGGAGAATATGAAGTTTTATCTGTTCAACAAACATTTATTGAGGACCACCATTCCCGTGAACTATGCTAGGCTCTGAATATAAGAGAGTAACTAACACAGTCATAGAGCTTAGAGTCTTGTGACAGATACAGAAAATAAGCAAGTAAAATAATAACAAAACATTCAAATGCAGTGAAGGAAATTGGTTTCAATTGTAGAGAGGATTTAACCATGTATATCCATTTAGGATGTAAAACAGGAACATAACATGTTACTACCATGTCACTTTTGAGGACATATTTAGCCTGGGTTGGCCAAATATTTGAATCTGGTTTGTGTAGCATGAAGGATACAGTGCTTCCCCAAGTAGTAACTACTTACTGAATTTTTTCTCTGTGCCAGGTATATTACATATATTAGCTTATTAACTCGTTATAACAATCTGTGTGAAGAAAGTATGTTACTTTTTACATATTAGAAAATTAACCTCAGAGAGGTTAAGGAATTTGCCTTAGGTAACACAGTAAGTAAATTACTAGAGTAGTATTTAAACTCAGATCTGTATGACTTCAAAGCCCATATGCCTACCCATGATCCTAAATTTCTTTGAAAAGCAAGTATTAGCAAAGTGTCCTTCTGTGCAGTATTGCCACCTGTACAAGGACTTTCAAATATATAGATATATGAGTGAGCGTGCCCATTTCCATCTGAGATAATTGGGCTGAAAACTGGACAGAATAAAGAGGGGTAAAGAGTTAAGAAAGGTGAAAGATGTCGTTAGATGAAAAGGAAGTCAAAGAGATCTTTTGTTTGTAGTTACTACTTTTTTTTTTCTGATTTTAAAAGTAACGTGCCCATGATAGTAAATTTGAAATACTATATAGGAAAAATATTTATGTAGTAAATGCTAGCCATATTACTTGTTATTACTGTCAAATCATTATATTGAAGATCCTGTCTGATCTGCTTCTCCCAGAAACTCTGCTTTTACTGACTCCCTTATTCATTCAGGTCTCTCTCAGAACATGCAGTGCTCCTTTCTAGTTCCAAGCCATTGCTCTTTCATCTCTAGAGTGCTCTTGCCTCTTTTTCCCAAAGTCTTTCTTATGACCATTTTTCAGGGTTGAGCCCACAGACCTTTTGCTCCAGATCCCTCTTAACGTCTCCCTGTACTAAAAATCTTTTTAGACATCTAGTCCCTTTCCCATTGTTCAGACGTGAATAGGTTGAATGCTTTCTGTTTTCCAGTTGTTATTCTTGTATGCCCAAGAAGTCTGCAAACAATTGAGGGCCTAGAGTAGAAAACATTAGGGAGAGGTACTGGGAAGAAGAGTGACTTAGAGGTAAAGGTGAAGTCAGTACAAACAAGTGATCCTGAGGGAAGAGCAGGAGAAAGAGTTGCAGTAGTCTGGGGTCCACACAGGGTAGGACAGTTCAGGAAAAATTAAGATTCTATCCCCGTCTTTTGTGTAAAGGTCTAGCAGTATCTTGAATATTATAGCTACTAATAAATTTTCAACAGAATTTTTAAAGTAGTCATTCATTCTTAATTTCTCTTTAACTTAGGAAAGAACTATTTATTCTTCGTATAATCCTCTCAGATCTTTTTAATAGTCTTCCTTTCCCATAGTAAAATATAAGAATCCAGAGAAAATTTCTCTGAGATTTGAAAAGACTGTAAGAATGTATATGACATGTCTGAGTCCCTGTTTATGTGTGTGTGTCTATAAACTGCTTTCCTATGGGCAGATTTTTACCTTCAGAGCATCATTTAAAAAAAGCATTCCTTCGCTGTCACTCCTTAACAAGTTGCTGGAGAACAAAATATATTAAGAGAACTGTGAACTAGTGACTAATTTTTAATTGTTTTTCCCTTTTCTTATGACAACCAAAAATGTCTTCAGACCCAGCCAGCTGTTCCCTGGGAGGCAAAATCCCCCCCTCCCCACCCAACTTGAGAACCACTGTTCTACACAGAGCAGTAAGTAGCCTAGAGCTCAGTGCTGTGCCATCTTTCCTTTGTCTGTACACAAGGTGAATTCATCCTTCTCATGGTTTAAATACTGCTTTTATGCTGAACTTCCAATTTTACATCTTTGGCAGTCTCTCCATGATTCAAGTAACTGCTTTCTCTACTTCTAGGTCTCATATGAATCCCAAACTTAATATTGCTTAAAAAATACTTTTTTTGTGTCTTCTGCCAACCCATTTCCCTTCCAGTTCTTTATGTATTAATAAATGGAACTACCTTTTACCCAACTACTCAAGCAGAAGTCTAGGAATCATCCTTGATTTCACTTCTCTCACAGCCTATGTGCAGTCACATTGATTTCAGTGTCGTTCATATCCTGAGCGTTTCTACTTCTTTCCTCCTCCACACCATGCAGATCATCACCATCTCTTTCTGGAACCATAGTAACTGCCTTCCTGCTTCTGTTTCTGTTCTTCCCTTTCCTGTTATCCATTGTCCACACAGCAGCCCAGGTGATCTTTTAAAAATGAGAAGATCTTGGACTACCTCTTGGACTGTATTTTCTACCACCCTCCCTTTTATTCACTCTACTCCAGCCACACTGGTTTTCTTGCTTCTTCAGTCCAATCTGTTTCTGGCTTATGACTTCTGCACTTGCTGTTTCTCTGCTTGAATGTTTTTTATTCACATGGTCATGTAACTGACTCCCTCATTCATTCAGGTCTGTTCAGATATCACTGACTTGAGTAGGCCTTTCTAGCCCACTCCAGTAAAATCCCATCTCCCTCACCTTCCATCGCTTCCTGACCCCTGACTCTACATTTATTTTTCTTCATAGCACTAATCTCTACCTGAGAGTATGTATTTTTAGATTTATTTATTTTCTGTCTCCTCTGCATGTAAGCTTACTGTGTGTCAGCTCAGGAACTTTACTTTATCACTGCTTTATTCCCCAAGGCCTGGAATGGTGCTTGGCATAGACTCAATGCTCAGTTACTATTATTGAGTATTACAAATGGATAATGATTGATCCTTTTTCAGTTTGGAATACACGCTTGGCTTTATTAAATAATTAGGTAACAAAATAAGTTAGAAGAAGTAATCCAGAAAATAGGCAGATTGTAATAGAAAGTGTTTTGAGCATCTGTCAGGGGCAGATCCAGGTTTAGTAGTCTGTCGACTGAAAAAACCGCCACAACCTAAAAGTTGAGAGTTATGTTTTATTTGATGGACAAAACTGAGGACTTAAGCCCAGAAGATAGCTGCTCAGATAGCTCTGAGGGACTGCTCTGAAGAGGTGAGGGAAGCCAGGATATATAGGAGTTTTGCAGCAAAAACCAGGTAGTTGGAACATCAAAAGATTACTATTAATTAAAGAAAATCAGATATATCAAGTTCATGAATTTAGCATTTTTCTTTGTATGGGAAGGTGCAAGAGTCTGGGCAGATCATTGCTTTGATATGCACCTTAACTGTCTAGAGCCAGTATCCTGCTTTTCTCCGTCCTGCCTTCCCTGAGGCTAACAGTTGGGGGTGGCTGCAGTGGCTGCCCCACTGCATCCCAAACAAAGGATGGCCCCAAAATCCTTTGTTTACCCATATGGCAGGCAATATTTTTCATCCACAAGTCTAAACCTTACACATTTTGGCTGGCCCTTTTTTAGGGCCATACAACTATAAATACAAACTTAGGTATATGTGAAAGTGACCGTTAGTGACATAAATAGGTCCCACTTTACCTAAGCCAATGTAATGAGTCCAACTTTACTTCTGTTTAGCCAGATTCTCAAAATTCCCTCTGCCACTTAATTCATCACCAGCTAGCTCAAGAGGAAATCAGAATGGAAGGAGTCCTCACTGACTGATTACAATTGAAATACATTGCTAATTATTCAAAGAAAAAAGGCGGGGGGTGCAATGTGAATGTGTTTTCTACAGCTCCCTCCAGGGCATTGAATGCAAGAAGGAGCCCTAAACTGTCCTCTGCGCCTAAGGAAGATACCATGTAACTAGCTCCAGTTTGCAGCCAGTAAAACCAGCTAACTGAGGGATAGACATGTGTAGTTGTTCGCACTTCCAGGCAGTTTCCCTGACAGCATCAAATACCTGTCCCCATATCCCTGAAAGAAGAGACTGGCACTCTTAAGAGCTGAGTTGAGTGAGACCTGGTGGTTTTTCAGTATTTTCAGGTCATTTCTAGAGATGATAAAAGCAAGAAAAGTTAATACGACCTTTCTGTTCTTCTCCTCTTGACAAACTTCCCCAGATACTCTCGAATATATGAATATTAATTGATGTTTCATTGCTGATGATAGTAGCTATTATTTATTGATTGATAATTGTATACCAGGCACTTTTTCCTTTTTGCATACCCTGATTCTTATAGGTACCTAAAAGATTTTTCCCCATTTTACAAACGAAAACGGTGAGCTATCGAGAGGTTAAGTAATTTGTCAAGTAAATGCTAATTGTTAGAAATCTGTAATTTAAAAAGTCTTTAAAAATTTTTTTTAAAACCGACGGTAAAGACTGTGACTACTTTGTAAAGTAAATGAACATACACTTCTGATTGTGCTCTTATTTGTGGAAATAAAATCCTGACATTTGGAGATACCGCACTTTTAGTAAACCTTAGTAAGTTTTGGCTGTAAAGCCCATGGGACTAGCATCTGACTGGCATTAACTTCATTTTTACATGGAATACTTGAGGATTAGTTCCACTGGCTATTATCTTTCCTTTCAGGTATTGATTTTGTATGTATCTCTTTTTATGTGCTTTGTCTTTGCTGTGTCTGGAAATACAGTGGCAATTGATCTGCTGTGATTTCTTTTTATATATATATAATATATATCTTTTTATTAAAGTATAGTCAGTTTGCAATGTTGTGTCAATTTCTGGTGTACAGCACAATACTTCAGTCATATAGGAACATACATATATTCGTTTTCATATTCTTTTTAACCATAAGTTACTATGTGATTTCTGATTAGAATGGTTTCAGAAAATAATTATGAATGATCAGGGTTTTGTTTATCATTTTTACTGTGTGACAGGAATAAAGCAGTTACTAACAATTTTATCATTCTAACTAAAAACCATGTTTGCCACACAATTCCAAACCTATCTTTGGGTTTCTAGTCTGATAATATTATCCAAAGAATCATTTTACATAATAATGCTTTATGGTATTTCTTCTCATAAGCCTTTAACTTTGCAGTCACAGATTTCAAATGTGACTGGTGTAAATGATGCAAGTCATTTTTAGTAAAAATAAAGTGACTTTTTGCCTCACATCTAATTTAGCATCATGTTAACACATAATACAATAATGGTTTATTCTTTGTTTTAGATGTTTGGAAACTGGACATTTGGCACCTTGGTCTTCACAGTCATGGTTATTACAGTCACAGTAAAGGTACAGTATGGAAATTAGAAGCATGGAATCATTTTGTATCTGTGTAATTGTTAATTTTCTTGATTTTTTTAGCCACAGATAGTTTTCCCTTTTCCTTTTTCAGTCATGAATAATTTCACTGATCGCTATTTTAATAATTCATTTTAGTTTCTGTCAAAAAATCCTTTTTAAAATTCAGTATTTTGGAAAGAAGCTTTAGCTGAATTTTATGGTCAAATAAAGATTAACCCCACAATACTCATCTCTGAAATTCTGCTTCTCTATATATAATGTAAGACAACACAAATTGGAGTTAGGCCATGGAGTTGAGAATAAAGTACTGATGAAATTTTAATGCTGCTTCCTCACAGAAGAAAATTAACCTAAACTTGAAATTGTTCAATTCCATTCTAGGATCCTTTCATTAATATTTACCTTCTGAGGGACTTCGCCATAGGAACCTTAGTCACTTATAATTAATACATTTTATTCTTGAGTTTTATCTGAGAAGTTAAAGATGTATTAATTTATATCCAGGATTTTTCAATTTATTGTTTTAGATGGCTTTGGAAACTCATTTTTGGACCTGGATCAATCATCTTGTTACCTGGGGATCTATTTTATTCTATTTTGTATTTTCTTTGTTTTATGGAGGGATTCTCTGGTGAGTGGCTAAATTATATTTTAATTATATTAATCCAACTCTTAACAAATATTTATTGTGATAGATTATGAACAAATTCTGCTTAGAATAATTTTGAGACCCTATTGTGATAAGAAATATAGTTCTTTCAGTTGATCTTACTGATATGTAGGGAAAAAGAAACTAACAATTACTTAATACTTACTACATTCTAGGTGTTTTACCTAAGATATGACATTGATTCATCATCATAATCTTATTACCCCATTTTTTCTGTTTGGAAACTGAATCCCAAGATCACAAAGGTTGAAAAGTAAGCAAAGCTGGGATTTACTCAGTAGTGTTCTTTACACTACCAATATTACCTTTAAATTATTATTAATGTATGTAATAAAATAAGTTGCACAGAACCATTAAATTTTCATGAATGCATTAACTCCTCTCTCAGTTTAAGTAAATAGTATGCTGCATCTTCATTGGTAAAAATCAGATATTCAGCTACTCTGATAGATTAAAAATTAATCCCTCTTCTAAGAGTCATTGGTACGTGATGGGCAGCTAAAGTCTCTCAGTTGAAGAATTTATATTACATTTACATGCTGTGCCTGTGATCCCTGTATAAGGCAAAAACTTAAAGGTAGGCAAAAACTTGTGTTGGCTAAACATTAATAACTTTCATTTAGGATCATATAAGGATACTTTTATGCATATCATTTGTAATGTTTGTTTTTAATCCTCATCATTTCTTTATATATTTCCCTATATTCCTTTGAAGTGATATGTATAAAACCCCAAAAAGAGTATCCTGACAATACCTACTTGTATATAGAACTAATATTTTTTGTGAGTGCATTTATTTTAAAATATATTTGTAGAGAAGAACTTCTAAGACCGTTTCAGCCTAAAATTTGGGTAATCAAGCTTATAGTTGCCTAGTAGAAAATATTTTGTTACATACTTTTTATTGCTTTTATTTTCCTCTCTTAAGTCTGTATTACTACATAATTCTTTTGATATTGTACCACTAAGAATGATCTAGTCAACTACTTGCCATTTTCCTAATTGTGAAAATTACAGTTTTCATTGAAACTAATTAAATTGGATTTTACTTTTTAACAATTAAAGCTTGTCTTGTTTTGTTAGTTGATTAATTAAATTTCAGTGATTCCAAATTTTGTACATTTTCATGGTGTATTTTTAAAATTGTAACCTTCAGATATACTGGATTTACTTGATATCTTGATTTAAGAATCTGTCTTCAGTTTCTACTTTTATTAAGCCCATTTTCTTTCTTTGCAGGCCATTTTTGGGGTCCCAGAACATGTACTTTGTATTTATTCAGCTCCTATCAAGTGGTTCAGCTTGGTTTGCCATAATTCTCATGGTTGTTACATGTCTATTTCTTGATATTGTGAAGAAAGTGTTTGACCAACAGGTCCATCCTACAAATATTGAAAAGGCACAGGTAACCTTTTTATATACAATAGCTTTTTAATTAGGAGTCTTTAATGATGAATAGCTGTCATTATAATTTGCTTATATCAGAAGATAGGAAATTATTCCTATATTAAGTATTTCTCCTACCCTGAAAAAAATACAAACATACAAAAAGAAATATTAGAATTTGAGTAATACTTCTTCAGGTTACGTTATTTTCAACAAAAGTATGAAATAAGTTTTTTAACCTAATTAATTTTTACAGAATGGATTTTTAAAATATTCTCTCACTAAACACTTACTAATAAATATTAAAGTATAATAGGTATTATCAGTATGTTATTGTAGTGTTTAGGAATATGATCTTTAGGGCCTGGTAGTTGTCAGTTAAAATTCATTTCTACTACTGGATAGCTCTGTGACTTTAAGTCTCCATTTCCTCATGAGTAAAATTTTGACAAAAATGTCTACTTCATTACCTTTGTAATGAGTATTGAATGAAATAATGTTCAGACAGAGTAGATGCTCAAGAAATGGTAGCTGTTTCGTTGAATGTGTCTTTTTTGTATATTTGACTTGAACATAAACTAGAAATCTATCTTAATTTGTCCTATTAACAGTGCCATAGCATTGAATATATATCCTCAAAAATATATTCTAATCAACTTTTATTTCAGCCTTTACAAACAGAGTTTATTAATCATTTGGTTCTGCCTGGATTGTGTTTTTTTTATTTTATTTTTGCATGTTTGCTACACATCAAGCAAATTTTGTTTAAATTTTGGAAGTTTAGTTGCATGTTTCTGCTACAAATAGAATAAATGCTCCCCAGGTATTTAGTAATTTGAATTAGGCTTTCTAAATGGTGTGTTGGTTTTAATTTCAGTTGATCATATCAACATTTCTTTAACATTTATTTGCTTTGATAACTCAGTCCTAGTCAGTATACATTTTAACACCATAGGAACAGCATAGGCCTCTGAAGCCTGACAGACTTAATTCAAATACTGTTCTAACCATTTATAAAATGTATGACCTTGATTAAGTCACTTCCCTAAACCTCAATTTCCACCTCTGTAAAATCAGAATAATAATTACTGCCTTACCTGATTGTTAGAAATAATGAATATAAAACCTCATCCTGGGTCGTGTGTAGTAAGTTCTCAGTAAGAACATAATTTTAAGGACGATGAGCATGTTGTTCTGTGATACCGATCTCCACATGGGGTTGAAAAAATTTGCATAATCTTGATTATTCTGCCGATAGACAAGTTTTTCCACTCTGCAATATATTACTTAAATATATATCAGAAAGATTTGCCTATCTTTTTTCTTCAGAGATAAATATTTATGGTAAGAGAATGCCATTTTTAATACATTGTATATTATACTTTTTCTAGACCATTATGGAGAACATATTTGTCTTGCCCTTTTGGCTATGTAAAGTTATATTTCACCAAAATATATTAATGACATCACATTAAAAGCTTAATTCTTTATAAAAGTAAATAATCAGATTTGTTTGCATTTCCTTAGAAAGTCTTCTTTAGGCAGAGCATTTGCAAACTTAAGTATTTTCATAGAGATTTCTTAATGGTAATGAAAAAGTGATATTAGTTCTTATTACTGCTTTTATAGCCTCTTTTAAAGGATTACACAGGAAATATTGGATACCGTAAGGTGGTCCCTTAGATAAGAAAAAGTTAAAAGTACTTTATATATATTATGGTTCTTTTACCATTGGTTAAGTTGATAAAAAATGGAATTGATTAAAAATCAATCATTTTTCTGTGTATGAAAGCCAGCATAAGCTCCCTTTCTGCCCCACTAAATTCCTTTTAAATTACTTTACTGGATGTTCTACTGTGGTCTAATCTAAAGAGGAAATCTCACTTCCACTCAGGGATCTTCTAGCCTGCTAGGGGTTTTTGATTTTGGTTTTGTTTTTGTTGAAACAGAGTATGGTCACTCAAATCCCATGTGTGACATTATTCCTTTACTTTAGTCACTAATCTTTACTATTTCAGCCTTGGACTGCCACCTCTGATTTCAAATGACAAAATTGTTAGAAAGTTGTCAGCTGTTTACTTCATTTTTTACCAAAAGTAGCAAGAAAAATCCTATCAAAAGAAGAGTTGTCAGGTCAGCATTTGTTTTGAGCTTTGTTTTTCTCCAGAATAACAATGTGGTATTAAGAGTAAATTCTTTTGATGGCAAAGCCAACAGCCCTACTAACGTCAGTCATGTGTGTGTGCCATGTATATTTCCTACTCTTGTAGGAATAAATGTCTTTACAAAGCTTGTCCTGTGTCTGTCTCTTAAGATGAATACAGCTCACTGACTTGTATGTCCCATCCCTTTTCTGTCCACTTATAGATGTACTCCAACACAGTCGCTTTAAGTGATGAGTTCATCGCACTGCAGCCATTGTCGAGGGCAAGGAATCAGCTGAGCAAACTTAGGTAGAGTAGGAGGAGTAGAACCTCGTTAACTCTTCTGCATGCTGAAAGTCAATTAAAAAATATTCAAAAGATGGGCAGAGGCATGGATTAAGAGTGGTGCATTTTTGTTAGCATAGCTCTGTCTCTAATTTGATCTCTATCAATATATATGTTTAAAAACTCCATTTCTTCTTTGAGAAGAAAATTCAGATGAAAATTCAGCATAACAGGACAGAGATCTGTACCTTGTTATATATTTTACATCTTAACTACCTTTCCTAGCACAATTCTTATGCTTCTGCTTGTCATATTGTTCATATTTAAGAATGCTCCTGCATGTTGAGTAATTTAAGCTACAAAATTCACCATAAAATTTAAAGTTTTAAGTTTCAGTTACTTGGAAGTGAGAGTTGCCCATTTTTTTTATCTTGCCTTAATCTGTGTTGTAAATACATGTGCATATTTGTCTTTGTACACTATAATGGCTTCCGGAACATTTCATACCCTTGCACAGTTTAGTGCATCTATAAATTGAACAAATATTTTGTATTTCTTGTATATAGCTTTATCTCCACAGACAGATCCATTCTCTTTCCACAAAAAATAACCAGTAGTCTAGAGATGTCTTTTGATGGAAGAGAATGAAAGTTTAAATCCTAGAACTTTTCATATTAAAATACCAAAACTATATATTAACTTTAACTCCAGTCTTGTTTGAAGAGAAAAAGTATTACAACTTTTTTTTTTTTTTTTTAGTTTTGGCACCCTTCAACTTCTCACCCTATCAGTATCTTGTGGATTCTTAATCATATACATTTTTTAAATTCTTTTTTATTCTCAGAGTTTCTAATCTGCCTGTGTTCACTTGATCAAATGAATGGCTTTGACAAGCACTGCTTAAATAACCTCTTATGTAACCCTATGAGTTCATAATTTTGAGCTTTTCTAAAGTTTTACCAAACCTTTTAATTTTATTATTCCTATTAACATTGGAATTTTTGAAGTGCTTTACTTTGAATTACAAAGGTATAATAATTGTAGATGAATATACAAATAGGTGTTTGAGAGGTAGTCAATTATATTTTATGTTTAAAGCAAGATCTAAAATCAAAACAAACCTGGAACATTTGCCTTCACCTTTCGTTGAGCCAAATATGTATATCACATTTTATCTGTATGTGCCTTTCTGAAAACAATGGGTATCACATTTTCAAACATCTAATTATTTAAGGCAATAGGAGAGCTCATTATTTAAAAGAACACTCTGGCTAGCACTTTTGTGAAGTGAAGATAACTTGCATTATGAATAAACTCAATTTTTTGTATTGTAATTTCACATATATTGGCTTAAATCAAGCACATTTTTTGAGCAGTAATAGACTAAAAAAGAATCAGGCAAGGAGTTCATAAATTAAGGAGATCTCACATTCTGTAATAATGTAATAAAGTAGTGAGTAAGTAAATATTTCATAGTATTCACCTGTAAAAGAGCACAATGAGCGCAGGATACATTAGTAACGTAATCTTCGCTGCAAGTCACTCCCCAGTCAGGTGGTGTAACAAAGGGAGAAGAGCCCTGTCGTGGAGACAGTGGGCATGGGCATGAATGTAGTGCTGTCCTTGGCACTGCTGCCTGTATGTCTTAACCAAATTAGTTCACGTCTTTGAACCTCCAGGTTCTTCACCTGTCAGATGATCATTTTACACACTGGGGTCTGTTTACTTACTGTCAGCATCAGAGAGAAACAGAAAGAAGAAATACTATGCTCAACCAAAGGCTAGGCAGAAATAACAGTGCTTAAGTGAGCAGTGAGTGACCACTGGGTGGGCATTTGTTCATAGCTGCGTGAAGAACGAGTGCCCACAAACATCCGTCTGCTGATGCATCCTATGAATTCGGAGTACATCTTGTTTTTGAACTACATTGAACAGTATTCCTTGGTGTGATCCACAGTAGCTTGTTTAGTGCTGTGACAGAGAGGAAAACTGTGCATATGTCATATATCTTCAAGAACTTACAAATTGTTAATCAGGTTAGCACTTCTTAAGAACCCTTAACACAGTACTGATAACAGTTTTAAATAAAAGAAAACTCACTTTGAGTATTTTATACTCCTTTGTTATAGGCAAAACTATAATAATAAGTTATCTTTATGTAAATTTATTGTACTCTTGAAACCAAGAAATTTTCTGCTTTATTTTTCATGTATGTAAGAAATTTATCATAGCATTTATTTATAGAAATAATTATCGATCAGTCCTGCAGCTGAGAAAATGCATAGAAATGAGGGGGGGAAATTGCTTTCTGTTTATTGAGGACTTTTTTTTTTTTTAATAATTTAAGAAAGGTTAAAATTACTTCGGCTGTGGGCACATACTCCTCAGAAGGTCTCTAATACTTACAGATATAGAAAAAGCAAAGAATAGAAATTTGTATAAATTAGTTAATAGTCATTAAAAATATATATTTCAAATTAAGAATTAGAATAATTTGTTTAATTAGGCAAGTAAAGCCCCCTCCTTACCTATATGTCTAACATTTGTGAGGCTATGTGATTGACCCTTCTACTCTGCTGAAGACCAGTTTCAATAGAGAAGCCTTCTGAGAAGGGAGCACGAGAAAAGCAAAATGAGATACACCTTTATGCTAAAAGCCCTAATTCTTGGTGACAAGGAATTTGTTTAATAGAAGACACTGAGTTTTATTAACACAAACCTGGTTTTAACATAATGTTGTACACTGGAAAATCATGGCTTTATTTTGTGTGCTCCTTGAGAAGCTACTATTAGCTCTCTCTTGTGACAGTAAATGAATGTGGTGTTGTGTGAACATTCAGTTGTGCCTCATAGATTGTGGACCCCAACTTGCTGTTTTGATTGTAAACTTATATACAGTGAGAGTATTGTTCTGTAATATGAGACTTACTGCTTTTCTGTCCTTCCAGATGGAAGAAGATAAGGGTTCAGTCAGCTCAGCATATGAATTTGCTGAAAGCAAGCACAGAGGGGAGGACAGTAGGCACCTGCTAGCTGAGGCTTGCAGCCAGCAGGACAGTTCTTGCGTGCACTAGGTAGTACTGCGCTGGACCTTCCTGGGGACATATCCGCTAAGTTCTCAAACTTGGGGCATGCTATGGGAGAACTGGCCTGACATTGCCATTTTTACTTTACTAATTCCTTCACTGTTTCTCACATGTTGTTTTTGTTTACCTGTTTTCCCTTTTTGTGATCTTTACACTTTTTTATATGTCCATACCTGAATATTTCATTAGTCTTCCTTTGGAGTTAGAGTGTTAAATCTTACATCACCTCAGGTTCTAACCTAGTAAGGTATTCTCACAACCTGTGGCCTTACATTCAAGAAATTATTCTTTTTCACTTTTCAAAATACGTTGTGCTATTTGTTATTTCTGAAATCAGTTTTCCTGATTGATAGTTTTATATCATTTTATATATGTTAATATAGTTAGACAGTGAATTACTTATCTAAGTCTACCTCTTGAATTGAATGGTCAAATGAAGGGATGCTTGGACCTGTTTCTGAATAATTCCCTGTTGACTGATAGTTCACTGAACTCTCAGTTCTTATTTTTCATAAACTTTCATAGTTACATCTTTGTAATGAGAAAGTATGAATTGATAAGGACTTGATTCACTCCCCTCTTGAGAATTAAACCCTAACAACCATTTCTAGACCTAGTTGGGATATACAAAATATTTTAATTGGTAGTGATTATGGACGATAAAAATTCTTACCACTAATAGTTATATTTTTACTTGGACTATTTGCCATTTTGTGTATTATAATTACTGGTCAAGAAGGTGTTACTGTTTCATCTGGGGTAAACCCTCATAAATGGTGAAACTTTAAAACAAAACTACTTGAGGATTATAAATCCCTTAACTCTGCTATAAATCAGACAATGGAACAGATGCAATAGTTTGAAAAATGTGAATTAATACTATAGGAATCTAATTTAAAATATTGCCCAAAATGGAAAATGTTGAAAGTTAATCAGCATTACTACTAATTGAAAAGAAATTCAAAGGAATCTGAATTCTTACTTTGTTTTGAGTTACTTCATATGATTATCTTTACAATATATTTATCTTACATTTTGCTTTGATAAATATAGACAGATTTTTAGTTTTTGAAACATGCCCTTATTGGGCTGCAAGGAAAATTGAGCTGAAAAGCTCACTGGGTAAAGAGGGGTAGCTGGCCAGGATTTATATTATGTCCTGGTTAATCCACAAAGCAGATAATCCACTTGGGACCTGACTCTACTAATATTGTGAAATTATGTCCTTTGCAATAAAAATTCCCCAAAGGTTCAAGTGAATATTTCATAAAACAGGGATCTGGTGCTACTTTAATAAGTTGATTAAAATGTATAGTACAGTTGAGAACTGGGTTCTTAGAATGTTCCTATTAAATAGTAGGGGCCTTGTTATGCTTACTTTTACAAAGAATTGGTAAGTGAATTTTCTTACCATCCTGTGACATATGGTCTTTCTATAAACAAGAAAGCAGAAGAACTCGCAAACCGAAAATATGATTTTAGTAGAATTGCTGGGGGATGTTACCCTGATCTGCAGTTTTTTTTCTGCTTATCACTGAATTTTAAGTGGTTCAGTGAAATATGTCTTAAATATTTCTCTTCTCATATATTTCTGCCTTTGGCATATAGTTTGAGATAAAAATCACTTTTTTAAAATGTGTTAAGTAGTATCTTGTATATTTTCTGTACTGAAGTGGCAGCAGTAGTTTCTCTAGTCAAAATTTGGTCAGCCTTGCCAAAATCAGGCGACTGTTACGCTGAGCCCTAGCTGTGGCCGTGGGCTAGGCTCTTCTAGTCATCTCCCTCTACTGGCGCCTGCTTCTTTGGCCTCCATTGTTCAGTCATTTTTTTCCCTCTGGATTCCTGGCCCTGCTCTGGATGCCCTCTTTCCAGCTGTACTTAGCAACTGTAGTGATACCAACAGGATGCTAGGACTACTGACCTTTCTCATTATGGATC